AAAATTAGGGAGCATTCCAGAATTGCTTGGTGTGCAAGCCAAGCATTAGTTATTTGGTAGGTTTAGGATTTTATTGCTTTCTAGTGTTAGGATTTCTATTCTTGCAAGATTAGGAGATCTAGTATAGTTAGGCCTAGATTTAATTTATGCACCTATAAATACCCCATGTACCTCATCATATTTTATGTCTTGAATGAAGTATTGAATTGGTGAGCCAATCTTGAGGGGGAACTGATGTTCTTAACGTGTGTTTAAACAAGATCGTTAGTGCGTGTTTACATACAGTGTCGGAGAGAAGGCCATTAGAGCGTCTTGAAGTCACGGTATCTAGGAGAAGGCCATAGTGCGTCTGTTAGATACACCTATCGTGGATAAACGAAGGCCCTAAGTGTGCCGTTTGTTCACAACCCACGTAGAATAGAGTAACAACACGATCTGACTTTTCATCATTGGTGCTTTCATTGAGAGGTGTTGATCGTGTGATTATCTATCCTATCTTTTTTTTTTCAGTTTGCCTTTTGCTGAGGGGCCGAATTTTTGTTCTTTTTGGTTCGAAATTTTTGAATGGTTTTATTTGAATTTTTCATTATTTTCGTGTCTAAAAAAAAAAAGGGTCATCTTGCTAGTCCTTTGTTTAAATTTTTTCGGTTGTTACCTTTTGTTGAGGGGCCGAAACTTTTTTTTGGTTCGATTTTTTTGAGTCTTTGTTGGGGGTTCGATTTTTCAAATTTTTTCCCTATTATTTTCGAATTTTTTAGAGTCAAAAAAAAAAATATGTCTTACCCACCATTGGATGAGTTAGAGTGGGAAGATCTGGAGACGTTGGAAGGTTTGGAAAGGGAGCTCACACCATGGGAAGCAGCATATCTTGATGAGCTTCATGAGCGAAGGGATATTGAAGAGTACGAACGTCAACTCATGGAAGCCCGAGAAGCAATGGTGATCGATGCTCATGACCATGAAGATGAAGGTGCGCTGAATTTTCTGATCCTTGAGGACAAGGAAAGTCTCGAAGAGGAGGGGAATGATATGGAAGTGGTCATCAACCCAGGCGAATCAGAGGATGAAGGTGGCGATGGTCTCGATATTTGGCTAGAAAATATGTTGGAGGAGCCATCTAGTCCTATTTACCGGCCATCATGTGTGAGGGATTGGCCAAAAGGATGTGGTCCACGAGCTAAACTTAAGCCTAGGAGACACAAGACCAAAAGAGCTCGAAGGAAAGGCAAGGCGAAGGCTAAAGAAGAGAAGTGTTGGTGTAAGCCTTGTGCGAGGAAAAGGCGAGTTCGCAAGAGGGTGGCTCGAAGGAGAGGTAAGAGTAGAATGGAGGATGGTTGGATTTGGAGAGCTGGTGATTGTATTGGGTTTGATGGATGGAATCCATGGCCGTCGAGAGAGCTTAAGGAATCGGGCGAGCACTTGGAGTCGGTTGGCGACAAGGGTGCGAGCACGAGCAAAGAACGTGCATCGTACCTTGATGCGCGTAATGGGTCGAGGGGTCGAATTGGTGCACGGGTGAGTGACGATGACGTAGGCAACGCACGATGCTGCGTATCAGAAGGATCGACGACGGGGATTGGCAGCACGCGGACGGCAGCGGGCGTACGCGGGTGCGATCAGGCCGCGGGGACGACTGAGACGCACAGTGCAGCGGGTGCACGGGGGCGCGCGGTAGAGGATCGGGACGATGGGGCACTGGAGGCGACGTGCGAGGCACAGGACGACAGCGCGAGCGGCACGGGCATGAGAGACGTGCGCGGCACTCGCGGGAGTGGCGAGGACGCACGGGATGTGGGCAGCGGCGGCGATAGGCGCGCGACAGCGCACGAGTACGGGGCAAGCGCGGGTGACCCAATCCTAACGGGCGTAGCAGTGCTGGGCGCGGGTGAGCACGCGCAGGCGGGACGCGGCAAAGAGGAAGTGCGCGCGACAGCGTGCGTGTATGAAGACCGCGCGCAAGGCGCCGAGTCCGCCGAGGACTAGGACTCGCGAACGCGCGCGCAAGTGAGGCGGCGTTCAAAGGGGCGGCCGAAGGAATTTTGGGCATATGGAAAATTAGGGAGCATTCCAGAATTGCTTGGTGTGCAAGCCAAGCATTAGTTATTTGGTAGGTTTAGGATTTTATTGCTTTCTAGTGTTAGGATTTCTATTCTTGCAAGATTTAGGAGATCTAGTATAGTTAGTCCTAGATTTAATTTATGCACCTATAAATACCCCATGTACCTCATCATATTTTATGTCTTGAATGAAGTATTGAATTGGTGAGCCAATCTTGAGGGGGAACTGATGTTCTTAACGTGTGTTTAAACAAGGCCGTTAGTGCGTGTTTACATACAGTGTCGGAGAGAAGGCCATTAGAGCGTCTTGAAGTCATGGTATCTAGGAGAAGGCCGTAGTGCGTCTGTTAGATACACCTATCGTGGATAAACGAAGGCCCTGAGTGCGCCGTTTGTTCACAACCGACGTAGAATAGAGTAACAACACGATCAGACTTTTCATCACGCTGCCTGGTTGGCTGCGGGCGCTGGCTGACTGGCTGGCTGGTCGTGCAGACGCTGGCTGGGGCGTCCCTGGCACGACTGTGCGCACTGGGTGCGTGCGGGCGTGCCACTGGGCACGACAGGCACGTCCTGCGGTAACTGGGCGCGCACTGTTGTCGGACT